GAGAGAAATTTCACTATTGCATTCGAACGAAGAAAAACGGCTACCCATAGTTCATGGCTAGCAGGGCAAGGCAGGGTCGTATTAGGCTGCTGGGAAGAATGGGGTTATATTTAGTCTCAGAGAAATCCCAGGAGTCACCTAAATGCGACATCCCATCCTTACGAGAACATCCACCCTGGTATAACGAAACCACATCAGCACCATCCTTTTCTAGAGTCCAGCCCTTTAGATTCCTTCCACTTCAAATTTTGAAAAGAATTATATATGAACCGGCGAAATGTCACTTAGAAATTCTAGGTCGCGGTCGCGTATAAGAACAAAATTAGGATTCATGACTGAATGGTATAATAAATTACCTCTTGAGGGTTGTCTTTAGTGGCATTCAAAGTGGCAGCGTCCGCTAGTGCCAGTGCAGGTGACGAAAAGAACTCTCCTAAGGCTATCAGCAGCAGAAGTAGCATGAATGCCTGAAAGGAAGAGGAAAAAACTAAAAGTCGAGATTACTGTCTGTAGACGATTTTGTGAAAGTTCTAATGTTAGTGATATTCGATGTATTTAGCATTTTACAACGTAACATTGATCTTTGACGAGGTAGAAGAAGATGCGACTCTCTGTCAACTTTCACCTATTTTAGCAACTGTTTAATGAAGGAATAGCGCCGCCAGGGTTTGACATGCAAGCACCACCCAATAATTGTGCGCTCTGCCTATCGCTGTGGTCCTCCGTTACTCCATTCCTCCATCTATTGCTGACTCCCACTATTTTTTTCCAAAATTCTGGACTGCTCAGGAGCTGAAAATCCGCCTTGAGTCCTGTCCACAGTCTGAGCAGAGGTCAGCCTACCTCATTTGTGCTCTGCTCATCTTCTCGCGAATCCACCCAATCCAGTGCGGAACGGCGTAGTCGTTCGTAAATGGTAGGGAAAAGGTGCATCAGTATCAGGCACATCAGTAGTGCTCTGATCGTAACTCGTATTTGTGAAGTACAACAGCATGAAGGCATATGTGCACTCGAAATCCCTAAGATATGGTGGGCGTGGCTGCGTACGCCAACTAACTAAACGTGGCGGCAGCTGTGCTTTTGGCAGGATATTTTCATTTTGACACATTGTGGTCATGTCTCTGTCCAACGCAGAACAAGATGACAGTTGTCTCGAACTCAAACTGAAATATCCCACAAGTAGTCTGTCTGTGCCATGTTCATATGCCACACCTACTCCGTCTCAGGGATAAGGAGTGTACATCCATGCAGCAGCATCTACAGTAGCGGTTTTTGGCATGATGCCAACGGACAACCGGATTGCTCCATACCAGTCGTGTACTCGTTCGCCACCGTATAAAAGAAAGACGTATTCACAGGTTTTGGCCTTTACTCGTCCTTTTTTTTGCCAGTATCCCACCAACCCCCAACCCCATCATCACTTCCGTTCATAGAGAAAACCAAATTCCCACTCCTTGCTCATTTAAACGCACTTGTTCTTTCGATTAATTTGCTGCAGTCGAATAATGCAAAGTTCTTACCTGTTCCACTGCGGGCTGTCGATAAACTCTGGTCGAATGTGGTGGTGAGACCAGAACCCCGTACTCGTTTTCTTCATAGTTGCAAACCTGAAAACTTCACTTTTGTGGACATACGGAGTAATTTTACTACTATTTTTAAGAAGTTTTCTGCCTCATTTTTGCTAGATGTCAACTTATTTACGTGTAGTGAGAGGAGTGAAAGGATTTAAAAGACAAGAGAGGATTATAGTGGAGAAGAAAGTTGTTCGAAACAGATAGCGAAGAAGCAGCCAAGTGATTTACATCGTAGAACACTCTTCTTCTTTTCCATGACCTGAGCAGGGAATGACTTGTATTGGTTTCTATGTGGCTCTTTACTACCTTATACGATCCTTTTGCTATCGCCAACACACCTGGAACTGAGACGAAGGAGGTATTCAGGGCCCTTCAAGAAAACTCATTTGCTATACAAGCTTAAAAAATTAACTTCAAAACTTATTCGGCTGGAATTCCGTCCTCAGAGGTTCTTTAGAGTCCCGATTGCGAATGTAACTTGGAATTCATATTTCTACTAATAGCCCTATCGAACCAAAATAGACGAAGCTGTGGCAATAAAAAGGATCTGCAGGGATGATGACTGTAGTATCAGTACATACAGTCATCATCCCTGCAAACAACAAGAGGTGCGAGGGGCGTGGAGCACAGCCAGGACGGCCTTTTCCACCAACTGATGCCATCATGAGTCCGCGACACTTGGTGCAGAAGACGGTCCTGGCTGCGCTTCAATGCACGTCCACCCCCCCCCCAAAGATCCTCTCGTTTGCAGGGGTCATAGTCATGACTGTAACGACGTCGGAGTAAGAACTGTACATCATGTTTTTGATCAGCACATTAACTTAACAGCGTGCATTAAGTTTCAGCAGAATATTTCCCAGTTATGAGCTTGCAGTAGTTGAAGTGTTCGCCATTATACAGAAAAATGTGTCTTCTGGGAGGGAGTTCATGCCGGAATGAGTCATTCCAAGCACTTCGGATGTCCAGTGGCACCTAAAAGTCGTAACTGTTTTCAAAGCAATGATACCCAGTTTCTTAAATAAATGTTCCTTGGTCGAATGTCCACAACTAAAATGGTTCCTTTCGTCGGCCAAACACCAGAATCTCCAGAAGTTTTTATCTCGTTGAGTTTTTCTCAATGGAAATTCTAAATTCTGCGTGAGAGTGCTCACTAATTGAAATCGAGGGCGTGGCGATTCCCACGCGTCTCCGACGTCCCCTCGTCATCCAACGGAATGTCCGATGCAAATAGCGTTTCGAAGTTGGCCGACCAAGGTGCGCTGCTCAGGATCGATTCAGGGAGGAGAAATGTGAGTGAGCAGCAGAGTTATTGGCCACAAAGGTAGGTTTAGCCGAGCGGCGGAGTGTGTGAGACCAATGATTTCACAGAAGATTAAATAGCGAAGCCATTTCAATGCGATTAGCAGCCGACATTTTTCTCCCCATGCCAGTCAAGGCGACGTAGCGCCATTTTCTTTTTCTGTGGGAACTGACGTCTAAGAAAATGAATGGCAATAATTCAGGGGACTAGGTGACTTTCGAAAAGGGCCCATTGAAAGCGCGTCTATAAATGATGCTGAATATTTGTCTTGACGTCCTGTTTTGACGTTTAATATCAGAGCGGGTCTTTTGCTTAGTTTTGGAAGACACAGCAGCCATAAGAAGTAAAGATAAGGTTCACGATCGTCATCAGACAAAAGCAATCAAGGGATAAGGATCGTATGGTATTGGTTACTAGTTCACTAGGGAGAGACGATTCCGTAAAGCCTCATCACTACGAAACTCGGGCTAATGCCGTTTGGACTCCAGCAATTTCGGCACCGAGCTCATTTTTAAATTGCCTAAGTCACCAAATCCGCTAAAAACTTGTATATAGGGGTTTAACATCCTGATTACGAATATGACATTCACTCTTGTCGCTGGCGCTAATGGATGACACTACGATTATCTGCGCTCTGCTAAAGCCTGAACATATGTAGGTATCTGTGGCGCTAGGGCCAAAGAAATGGGCGTCAATCGTATAAATTACTTTGTGTACATGTTTTCAGCGAATTTGGCGAATTAGGCAACTTAAAAATGAGCTCGGTGCCAAAATTGCTGGAGTCTAAACGGCATTAGCCCGAAACTTGTTCCCGCCTAGGCTGACACAATCACATCCCGGTTGAAAAGCTAACAAAAATGTTGATTCACAAAATTGAAAGTGAATCAATGTCTAGTTTCGCGTGGCGGAATGATAGGCGTGTCCAGAACGGGATGACTTTGGGGCGCAGTAATAGAACCGTTTCTCCACGCAGCTTGTTTAAGCCACAAGTGAACAGGACTGTATCATATCATTTCATATCACCCTCGTTCTACCGACTAGTGGCCAGATCGCCCGCATTTAGAAGCGGCAGAACGGGGTTGGCGTCCGTGGCATGCTGCATACCGCCTTGACACGCCCCTTTGTTTGAAAGCGAGCGAGCGGCAATATCTGGTCGAAACCACCTAGCGCTGCGTCAAACCCTGCTTCCCTGATACGCCCGAGCATGTACAGCGAACAAAACTGTAATGTGTTGGCTTGTAAAGAAAGCGTGGCAAACAACTTTCAAGAAGCCCACCGACCCAAAAACCCTTACCTAATGCCCCAGGGAGCACGAGCATTACGCTGCTCGTGCGGCGTCACACCATCGAGCTCAGTTATCAGGGAAGATTTTTGCGATGAATATCTCTAGGGAAGTGTCAGTCCTGGAAAAAGTCAATTCAATTAATTTTTAATCACGACCTGGCACTATTGATTTTGATGGGCAATCTCGGAGCGTGTGGGTAGCGAACTAGGCTGTTGATCTAACATGCACGGTAACAATCTAGATTCGCTGGGCGACGGTTGGGCGTGTTAGCCAGTATGAGTGTGTCACCCAGTTGAGGCCGTTCTCTGCCTTACTGATGAGGTGCGCATGCGACAAAAGTTGTAGAATAACGAGTAATACAGAGGATATGATGCAGTACGTCACATGCTCTTATTAGTGGTAGAGAGGTATTGCATTCACGCCAAATGCAGCCGCACGGACGCGCTAACCCGTTCCGCCAGAGAACCACGCACTATAGACAGTGGACTGGAATCTCTACAGAGAAGAGCTTCCGTGGTTGGAACGGTGAGCATGTAAAGTAAGGTTTCCTCGTAAGTGGCTGCTGTGGGGCTGAAAAGGACAGCGTGCTGGTAGCCAGCTTTTTTAAATAAGCTTCGACAATGAAACCGACACCGACATTTGGAAGATCCCCAAATGAACGGCATTTCTCTCATTTTCAACTGTGGTCAGCATACCTTGGCCGGAGACTAGTACGAAGGAGAGGTTTAGTGGATTCTGGGCGTAGGGCGTCTTGAGCCTTTTCCCGCTCAGCTCATCAACCTTAGGGAAGGCTTTCGAATGTCACTTTTTATGGGACTGATTCATCATTCTGAACAATAAAAAGGTTATGTATGGCGCCAGTCTGAAATTTAGATCAAGCGCTCCCTCCCATTGTAGTGCCGAAGCTTTAGAGAAGAAGCTGTCGCAACAGATATCGGGTCTGATGATCTAAGATTCTTCCATGTTGAACTTCGGATTCCCTTAACAAGTTCGCGCAAGCGCCGTTCGCTTCAAAAAACCCTCTTTGTCAATCCGCGTCGCCTCTCGCGACGGCGCGACACTCAGCCCAATGTCCCCGTTCTAGTGGTTCAGCGAGTCGTGGCGATACCACCGCCTCCGCCAAAAATACTTATCTGTTGGCAGCCCGGGTTGGGCGAAGAAAACCGTCAATGCACCGATGTGCCGGCATGTCTACAACATGGATCTTTTGAAAGCACTCACAGCTTAACTCGCGGTTCGCGGAACCATGACCCTGAGAGTAACGCGCAATTGGTTCCGTTGTAAAACGCATTACCTGGGCCT